TTTCAATGACCAAAGTTCCTGTCACGAAACATGCACTTTTATGCTCAACCCTGAAGGTCACGGAGAATGGCGAGGACATGCGAGGACCATCTAGACTCTACATGATCGAAGCCCAAGCACCAAACCCACGAGACCATCACAGACCCGGTGCCTTGCCGATGCCGCGGCTAGGGCCTCTCACCTTAGACTCGCAGATGTTTCGCTCTTCAACCACCATGAAACCGCTCCTCGGGAAAAACGGTTGGGCAAATTCTTGAAATGGAGCCGAGAACTCCAAGAGCGAGCAGGCAGGTTGTTCCACCATCCAAGGAAAACACAAAGAACTCAGGATCAATAAGTGCACGGCCACCCGCGCAACCATCTCATTCCTTGCATGGCTTCACAAACAGGGACTCCAGGCAGCAAGATTCAATCTTCAAGTGCGCAATCAGCAATCAAAGCGTTCGCTTTATTGTTCTTTCAGCTGCTAGGTGAAAGTTCTCTTGCACGTGGAAGCACGCACCCTTGAAATTACTATTGCGCTCACTACTCTTGCGGCAGTGCACGCGCATGTTATTGTCTCATGCAAAGGTGGCAGACGTAGGCCACACAAATGCCGCGTGATTGGACACGTGTTTTTGTTCACATGCTCTGCAGCTATACATATGGGTTCGTGGATTTTGCCTGTCTAATCCATTTCGTCAAGATCTCCGGCTTGTAGAAGCCCTTGGCAGTGTTGTTTCGATATGGTGGGTTGTTGGCCTTTTCGTCTTCACTGCACTTCTTGATCGCCACGATGTTCATACCCCACTCCAGGGAACAAATATCATGATCGCCATCCATAATACTAAGCTCCCGGGCTCCGATTTGATGGCGCACAAGAACGTGCTGGAACTGCTGCAGTTTAGAAACAGCCGAGAAGTTCGGCCCGTTGAAAAATCCTTCGCCCAACATGGTATAGCCGTACATTCTGCTTCCATTTCGCCAATAGTTTGTCTCTAGATCTTCAATCACATACATGCCACCAGCCCTGACAGAAGTCCACAAATGAAAAAAACCAAAAATCATGTGCGGTGGATAATGCGATCCATCATCAATGATCACATCCCAAGGTCCTGCTTCACGGAGATACTGCATGGTCTCGTTCTTGCCCTGGTCACCAAAATGAACTGTAACCTTGCTCATGTTTTTGGCCCGTCCTTCAACTCCCTCTGTCATGTCACCATAGGCCAAGCCCATAATGAGCTCTGGATCTGTAAAGAAACGACTCCAAGCCAAAAGCGATCCACCTTGCTGGGCACCTATTTCGAGAAGTTTCAGACCTGGTTGTTGCTGAAACTCTGCAAACCACCTCCGGTAATAGCGATAGTACCTGTGACCATAGGGACCCTTGTCTGTTCCAGCGCCTTTCATGGCCTCCACCAAGGTCCGGAGGCGGCTTGTCGTGGTTTGGCCCGGGCTGGCAGTCGGAACCACAGGAGTCGCCATGGCAGTCGCTGTAGGATCTGAAGGAACCGCAGTGCGTTGCCCTGCTTCTGCTAGGGGCGAGGGACATTTCGACTGATTGCTGAGAGACATCAGTATCAGAAGGAGGCCCAGCGACAAGATGAGGAGAATCCGCTCCACGCGCATGTTCGCAGCTAAAGTGTGCGTGTTGCGAGAGTGATCTCCTGCCGCAGCCCTAGAAACCTAACACAAGACTTCAGGCAGTGTGTGGGGCTGTACCCAGCGCAAAGGACTTGGACTTGGACTGTTCGAAACATTGACGCCGCTACACTCCACAACAATGGGATCAAACCAAAGTCTGCACAGCACGCCGTAAAGAGAGCAGATATGCGCAAAAGGCCGTAAAGAGAGCAGATATGCGCAAAAGAAACCACTCTTCGAGCCAGCGTTCATCGACAAAGCATGCCCAGCGTTTGGACGAAAACCACCACAAAAGTCCTTCATGGCAGGCCGTGAATGTAAGTGAAGCCGCTCCTAATATCAGCTTCTAAGTCATTTGGAGTGGACAACAAACCCGCCTCTCGAAACTGGGACCACCCAAGACTTGTTCCTGGCGCTGAAAACGCTAGGACTGGTAGGAATCGGGCTACGGAGCTACATCTCGTGTCTAACTGGGTTGGCAACTCGTGGAAAGGAAGCCCTCCAACAATGCAGAAACTAGCTGGACCGGATGAGACAACATCGTCGAGAACACCCCTTGATGTTTGGTCAGCAGTCAGAGGCGGGCAGCGAGAACTCTTCAAGGTTGCAAGCTGAAGTGCAAAGGAAGATGGAGGAGTACGCGAATCGTTACCAAGAAGAAGTACAACGGTTACAGTTGGAGGTGCAACAGTTGAGGCGTGAGAGAAATGGGTGGTTTGGTGGTGTGGCTGCTTCACAAAGCAATGTGCCGATGCCTCCAGGGAATGCTACGCAGTCTCAAGGAAATCTACCTCAACAAGCGAATCTACCTCCGCAGCCTGTGATAAGTGTGCCGGTACCTCAAGGGAATGAACGCAGTCTCCAGGAAATCTACCTCAGCAAGCGAATCTACCTCCGCATCCTCCAGGTGTACTTCAAGGGCAATCTACAGTACCTCAGCCTCCTGCTTTACCTCCTAGGCCTCCCGATGTTCTACATGAGCTAGCTGGTGTACCTAAAGGGCCTCCTGTATCTTTTGCTTCACAATATCCAGGTAACGTACCAACGAGAGCTTCTGAACCACGGGGTGATCCAGGTTCCCTACCACAGCATGAGTCGGCTACCAACCATGCTTCCTTGGCGATGGGGCATAGCTTAGAGACCCCCAGGGAATACGACGCAGTTTCGAGGAAATCTACCTCAACAAGCGAATCTACCTCCGCAGCCTCCTGGTGTGTCAGATGTTAGACATGTAGAACGTCAGGGGTCATCTGGTCCGTCTTTGCCAATGGCAGGAACGTCAGCACAGCAGTGGTTGGGGTCGCAAGGGACAGATAGCACCATAGCCTTGCTGGCGGATGGAATGGCTCAGTTGCAGGCAGCTATGATCAAGCAGATGGACAAGAAGTCCCTTAACCCTAAACCCTAGCTTACGAGCTTTGGGAACCTTAGAGACTGAAGCTAAGAAGATCCTTTAAACCATAAAGGTTCAACACTGAAGCTGCGCACTGTACACATTCACATTTTCAATGATGGCACAGTCATTTGCTAG